GGGAGGGGGGGTGGGGGTGTTAGACATTGATCTACCAATCTTTAGTCCCGAGCAAGCTCTCAAGCCAGTCCCTTTCCTTCGCAAAGCAAACTCAAGGTAGTCCTTACCAGGCTACCTTTCGTGATTACTACCTTTACTACCTATAGTTATATATATTTCCTCTGTACAGGTCTATATCAAACAAACGATCCTGAGAAGTCTCGCATGTCCTTCTATCGGCCCTGAGGTGGTCGCGACACGCTCGACTGTCCCCGGTTGGGGCTGGTGCCGCTTCTCCTCGCGCTTCTCCAAGGTGCTGAAGCTGAAAAGCCGTGAAGGCTGGATGGACCATCCTCAGAGGTGAACACTGGTGGACAAAAACGGTGAGACAGCCCGGCTCTCAAATGTTCGAGATTTGTTGTGTGGATGTGAAAGGCTGGATGGTCTGTCTCCAAATCACTGGACGACCCCCTTGGCGAGCTTTTTGGCCCACTGTCTGGGGCACGTTTCCTTTTTCACGAGCCGAAGATAGCCGAAGGCTGGTAGATGGGGATTCCATTTGGAGTATATAATGATTCCTGGTTTGACGCCCATGATCTCCTTACTCCTTATATCTTATATCTCCGTTACCTATCCTGACTCGCCCGCAACGCCTCTCCCCCTTACGTCCCAGAAATAGGGCTCAGCACAAGCATCATCTCGTGGTAAAGATGTTCATCTACGCTATGGCCTTGGTCGGAACAATTCATGTGAATTCATCTATCATCTCTGTTTATTGTTTACACAGCTTGTGTTACTGCTTGCGTTCCACGGTGCAAAAGGGCCGGGTTGGAATAGCAATCATGGTGCCCGAAGGATGTCTATTTGAAGGGAGTCTATTTTTGATTTCACCCATATAAAAACAACACCTTGCTCTACATTCTAGATAGGGGTTCAACTAAACAAGGAACTACAAAAAGCAAGATTTGCGCAGGACCTACAAGCACTAACGCGCCGTGTCCAGGTTCTATCTGACACAGTTGCCATCTTCTGTGATCCTTGATGACCCTTGTTCACAGCATTACATGAATGCGCTCAGCACCCATCATTCTTACACCAACGCATGGTTCATTTGCCGATAAAAAACCTCTTTGCACACCAACGAAGAAAAGGAACTGATCAGGGAACATGCTGTCAACTTGTTCAATCATTTCCACAACCATTTTTCCTGAGAAACTTGTCGTTTGAGAAGCTATCACACAAATGTAGGACCTTGCTTCAATTCTTGAATCGTGATACGAAAGACCTGTGTCGACTTTCGAAGGGTTTGAGCAAATCACGGGGTCCACATGGGTCCACCTGTTCAGGAATATCCTATGTATCGATCCACCTGCTCCACATCTCTTTGCTGTTGGACCATCAATCAACTGTCCTCCCGTTCTGATCAGCTTTAGCAGCACGAAAGCCATCGGTGTCGGTCTTTTTCCTGGCGAATCATGTGCTCCAACCAGCGGGCTGCTTCTGGTGAATGCTTGCCCAGCCGTGGCCAGTGATGCTGTGAAACACGGGCTAGCCTGGCACAAAAGATAGGGACGAAAGCAGTTGGTGAACGCATTCCAACATCGCCACTCGTCCGCCTGCAATGTTTCGCCTGGAGAACACACCGGTCAAACCGAGCCCAGCTCGATCGTCAGCTGTATCGCTCAGCAACTTGACGCTCTGTCCTCGGAGGATCAAAAGTGGCAAATGCTGGACGCTCATGACCCCTGACTTGTCACATCGGGAGATTGGACCTACTCGTTTTGGACTAAACATAGCTACTCATAGCTTCGTTTCAAAACGGCCCTCATCCAACTGCTCGCTCGCAGGCTTGTCCAAAGAATGCTACATGATACTCACTGTGATCACAGTGGTAAGCGACTTCCGTTTCTTGAGGGTGGGAGCTCATCCCTCCGACCCCATGTTCCTTTCGTCGGCCAAGCATCAATACACGATATTCAGCGCAAATCTTCTGATACCACTCCGGATCCCCATGGAAGCGATAATCCATCACCAACTCTTCTCCAACCTCGATCTGCCGCAGTGTGGTATTGAAGCCCAAGTTGGGATTGGCCGAGTGGTTGACGAAACGTCCAGCATCCTGCGGGTTCACACATAGATGGTCCAGATCATCCGGAAGCACAAAGGCTTGGCGTAGATATGTTCTGGCCTCTTCCATTTTGAGCGTCTCCAGAGTGGAAGGCACCTCTGCAGCTGGGATCTTCGTCACCAAATCCGTCCACTCCCAGAAAGTAGTTCCCTTAGGAATGGGAGCCGTGGCAAAGATTCCAAAGTGGCCCTCGCCGTACGCGGGTGCTTCTCTGACCTTGGATGCGTGAAATACCTTGGACTAGAGATGTTCCAAACCAGTGATGCACAAGTTGAAAAATCCCCGACAAGGCATTTCCAGCATGATTAGGGTCAACAAATGAAGTTTGCAACGATGTCCAGTTAAGTAGAACAGCTCCAGTCAATGGGGCGTTCACCCCAAATTCATTGTAAGTTAAAGGAAACCGCCCTGCACTATCCACCTCTAAGTAAGGGGTCATGCGTTTGTCTTTTACTAAGCCCAAGGGGCTCAGCTGTAAAAGGGACGCCACGCATTCGGTTGGTGAGTAGAGTAGAGTCACGATCCCGTCCCGGTCGTCCCCGGTCGTCCTGCCTAGGGATGGACCACTACCCAAAAATCGTCTGCTAAAGCAATCCTGCTGCACCTCCACTGGAACCAGGAAGGCTGGTAGAGTCGAGCGAGTCGTGCTGCTTGGTGCGTCGGCAGGATGCTGCATGCGAGGAATGAGCTTGTGTCAAGGAAGCTGTCTCCGCCAGGACATCCAGTAATCTTTCAACAAACACCACCTCCCTCGGTGATTCTTTGTCAGGGGAACATCCCACCTATTTGTTTTGCATTAGGCGTGAAGTCTTCCGGTTCCTTTTTGGCTTGACCAAATCTTGAAGTTCAAAACCAACACATCAAGCAACACACGAAAGTGGATCTTAACCAGCACTTTACACCTCTTACATGGAACACTCACTGATACAAGAAGTGCTAAGGAATTGCCAGTAGAAGAGCCATTCGAACAAAAAATTACCTGCTTAAGCTGGGCGGTCGCCGATGACCATAGGGGATGACCTTAGCTAAAGGTATGACCTCAGAAGCCCAACAGCTGCAAGTGCACATCCAGCACGCCCGAGGTGAAGGACATCGGGATAGTCGATGAAACGGACCGTCGCCATTCTTCTGTGGATGAAGTGTTTGATTTCATCTTTGAAATGAGACTTGGAAGGATTCTGTCATATTCCACGTAAGAATATGTGCTCATATTTTCTATTTGTCACTGTTTTTTTCTCTTGCGGATTTTTTTGCCGGCAGTTTTGCAAAAAGCGTGCCGGAACGCAGGGGTCAGCCGTTGCAAGCATCCAAATTTCTAGGGATGACACTCCATCTGCCCAGCCCCCTCCTAACAAAGGAGGAACAACATGAACAACATGAGAGCATGGGGATACAAATCTGACCCTTCCTGGCTGTGAGCCCGGACATTGAAGGAATCCGCCCATCATCAGGACACGGTTGCCACAGTCATCCTCTCGCATCTCAATAAATTCCTGCAAGTTGTTGGCTCACTACCGTGTCACTCACTCGTTTGCAACAACGGGGCCAAGCATGAATTGACTGGAGCAAATTAATTAATGGTTTGGATCAAGTGGGTACCTTTCTTAGATGCCAAGATTGGGGTGCGTATACGTCATGTAACAAACAGCTTGCGGCCCCGTTTCAAAAAAGCATGGTTGGACAAATAGCCCTAGAAGCAGCCCCGTTGCCGCTAAAGTCCTGACCAAAAGACGTTGCAGCTCCAAACGACACATCTGTGTGAGTGTTGGACAAGGGATGAACTATATATATATATATCCGCAAACCATCACCCTCCTCAAAGCTGCTGGAGGTTGTTGCCTTCACTGTGAGGTCTAAGGGATTTCCCCATCCACAGTGCTCATGTTCGTCCAGGATGTCCTGGAACGCCACCACGCGGACCCTCAACACGTCCCAATGGACCAGAAACAGCCTCTGCGACTCTACTTCCTTCATAATATGTTTTTAAGTCCAATTGTCAAACCATATTGAGTACATGGTATTTGCTGAAAATGAACGTCTTCCGACGAGCTCTGACGTGCTTTGGCACCAAGCACACAACATGCAAGAGGGTCTCGGTCTCTCTCTCTCTCTCTCCATCGTTTGGAGGATGGGATTTGTTCTGTAGGAGCACGTTTGGGACGCCAGCCTCCACCGGTTCCATCAGTAAGTCGTAGCTGTCAGCGTAAAGCTCTGCCGACCCCGGAAGGCAATTCCATGACACACCTTGAGACCCACACGTCTCGCACAGGCCAGATGGCCAGATGGCCAGGGTGGAAGTTCCAAAGAGAAGCAGTGTTAGCACGCCCTCTGATAACAAAATACATGTAATTCAGCAACAAAAAGCGTGAGGGGCCCTGTGCGGCTGGACTCCCAACATCTAGTCTAAGCTTCCCACTAGTAACAAGTGCATCGCTACTAGGACACGTTGCTCCAGGAGGCTGAGAAGAAAGCATCGGAGGAGCTGGCTGGAACCCGCCATGGCCTTCGAAGGCAAAGAGCGCTCTTTGGATCCCCTGCTGTGCATGGCTGTTCTCCTCACGGTTAGGCAGCTAGGCTCTCAATATGTTGCAATGGTCCCTGGCAAGCAGTGCGTGTGCAGCATATCGAACCATGCTGGTTAGCCTTAAGCCTTAGTTTTCCACATGATTCCTTCTGTGAGCCCCGGTCTTCAGCTAGTAAAGCAGTCAAAGATGCCCATTCCAAGCAGCAAAAGCCACTCATGGGATCATCCCGGTTGATGATGTGTCAGACTCTGCAAATCATCTGAGCTTGAGCTGCATCAAAACGGTTGAAAATTATTGAAATCAACACAGCGGACACACCTGGCATCTCATTGAAGGGCAAGATCCACCAACTTGAGGCCAGAGGGGGTGAACGAAAGCTAGCCGGGCTTCCGGTGGTCTGCTGCTGCTGCTGCTGCCGCTGCTGCGCTGGGCGCTGCTGCGCTGGGTGCTCTGCAGGCGCCGGGTCGTCTGCTGCTGCTGCTGGCGCTGGGTGGTCTGCTGCGGCTGCTGCTGCTGCGGCGTTGGGTATGCTGCTGCTGCTGCTGCTGCTCCTTTGTGGTTTGCTGCAGCTGCTTGGTGGTAGACTGCAGATGCTTGGTGTGCTGCAGCTGCTTGGTGGTCCCGCTCACCGCGCGCAGGGGGGAGTCGAACCGCACACTAAGAACACAAAACCTGCGTCGTGGCCCGCGCGATGCGACGACAAAACCGAGAAAACCGAGAAAACCAGAAAACCGAGAAAATCGTTTTCGCGTTTTCCTGTGTGGAAGCTTTTTCCAGTTTGCTTACGTCTTCTTGCTTGTCTTGCCTTTGAGCGTGAAAACCGCAACCAAGAAAACCGGCAAAACGAGAAAACCAAGACAACGGTTTTCATCGTTCTCGCCGTTTTCCCGTTTTCGCCGTTTTCGCGTTTTCGCCGTTTTCGCGTTTTCGCCGTTTTCGCGTTTTCGCCGTTTTCGCGTTTTCGCCGCTTTCGCCGTTTTCGCCCGTTTGCGTATTTTTGTCGTTTTCGCCATTTTCGTAGTTTTCGCCGTTTGTGCCGGCTTCGCGGCGCAGTCGTTGTTTTCTTAGTCTTCGCCACTTTCGAGGGTTTTCAATTATTATGCTCCTTAGTTGTGCACTAAATCTCAACGGTTGAAGTTTAAGTTCAATTCACGAATCTTAGTAAATAGTTCAGTGAATCAGAATGATCTTAATCTCCAATCCAAAAGGAATATCACCTCATCACAGGCACTACGCATGAACGACCAGATAACGTGACCAAGTCTATCCAGAGGGAACCCAGGGATGAAAGAAAAACAAGAATCAGACGACGTCCATTCCTCTCCATCAAACTGAAGAGCCGTGGCATGCCTCATGGCTCTCCTTGCGCGGAATCGACGAGCTCTTGCGACGCAAGGACAGATTGGAAACCAAGGGCTTGCGATGGACTCTAAGTTAGTTCAGTGGGGCTTGCCTTCCTGGCTTGCCTTCCGTGAACACTTTGTATTTTGTTTCAATAGACTGGCCTGGGCACATGCAAACAGCAGCTAAGGTCAATCGTTGATGGTTGGGATAAGCCGCCCCAGCCAAGGCATTCCCGAGCTCCAAGGCTAAGTTCTCCAGCACACATCTCCCATTGTATGCCTTGCAAGTCATTAAGACATCTCCAGTTTTCTTCTTGACCTCGGCTAAATATATAGCTAGATGCTCACGCTGAAACAGGGTAGTTGGATGTTAACAAGCCAAGATTCTAGCCTGGTGGTGAAGGGCGGCTGCGAAGAAAAGATGCATGCTTACTTACCATAACAAACCCGATCGTCAGGACCGAGCGAGGCCCGAATTCACGTCCGGGTTCTGGCGGCGCATTGTGTCCTATCGGGCCCCGCGCAGCTACTGCTCGGACACACGTTGAGCCGCCTGGCGCAACAAAGGTGGACCGATTTCAAGGCCGCCCTAAAGAGCGCACTTGTTTCAATCTTGTGTCTTCCGATCCTGCACGATTTTGCCATGCCATGGGCTCCATGGACATAAGCCAAAACGAGGGATGCCATATTTTTGGTCGACAGCTGTCGGCCAGACCCAAGCAAAGCAAGATGCGCCTGGTTTAGAACAAGAAAAGATATACATTTATGGAGTGTTGTAGATTCAAAGTTGTGCTGTAGATCCTGTAGGTGGTCAATGTGGGAAAGGAAACAAGATCAGAACACTATTGTAGTTGTCAGTGCCTAGCTTATGTACACTATATACACATACAAATATATATATATATATACATGTATCTATATACATAGTTTACATGAGTGTTTAGCCGAAAAGGGCCGATTCAGGGCCTTCATGGGCCTTCCAGTTCCACCGATACGTCGACAAAGACCCAAATTTTTTTGGTGGGAAAAAGAGATCTTGTCTTGTTGGGGAGAAGAGCCAGCGATCTGGAGAATGCCTCAGTGTTCCATCTATTTGGGACCTTCAAGGCAACCCCATCTTTGTCGTGGTGGTGGACGCCAGTCGCTCCGAACCGCTGGCCAATCGCTTTGTGGAGGGTGGTCATGTGGCCATCGTCTTGCAGTGAGGACTGATGCGTCTAGTGTCCTGCGAACCGTTTTGAGCAGTCCTGATTGGGGTGTAGGCTCCCCCAAAGGCGCACGGTGCATCCACTCCAATAGAGAGCTCGTTGGAGTTCGCGCAAAAGAAGATCGGGGCAGCGTCATGGGAGGAAGGATTGAGGAAGGTGATCCCTAAGTTTCGCCGTCTTCTTGCTTCTCTTGCCTTTGAGCGTGAAAACCGCAACCAAGAAAACCGGCAAAACGAGAAAACCTAGAAAACGGTTTTCGTCGTTCTCGCCGTTTTCCCGTTTTCGCCGTTTTCGCGTTTTCGCCGATTTCGCGTTTTCGCGCCGATGCGGTGTTCGAGAAAACCGTGAGCTGTGTCAAATCCAGGCACTTTGTTTCCGCCGTTTTCCCGTTTTCGCCGTTTTCGCGTTTTCGCGGTTTTCGCGTTTTCGCGTGGCCTGCCCCCGCATCACCGGGGGCCGAGACACACGTTTCGTATGCACAGTCGAACCGCGGGGGGGGGGGGGTCCATAAGATTGATTTAATCAATTATTTGAGGTTTCTGAGGTGCGTCCACCCCGTCACTTAACTTGCTAAAGCAAGAGCAACTCCAGCTAGCTAAGGCTAGCTTTCGTGAAAAAGAGATTGGCATCACAACAACAATCCCGTTATATTTCTATACTTGAGAGACTTGAGAGTAGGAAGCACGTGGCACACACAAACACGCATATGCGCATGTGCATAAATAGATAGTTAGATAGATACGTAGATAGGTAGATAGATAGATAAAAAGATCAGATTAGATTAGATTAGATTTGATTAGATAGATTAGATAAACAAATAGACAAGTAGACAATAAAACATACTGTAGCGGGAGCGCAGCGGTAGCGAAACGAAGGGCTCGAAGAAACCACGACAAACGAAAGGCGGCCGTCGCCTATGGCACTGTTTTCGAAAGACCGCTGGGGTCTGGCTGCAAAAGGGGCCCCTGAGCATGAACAGCCACGGTGGAAAAGTGGCATCTTTACATGGAGGCTCGATGCACGTGTTGCACCGGAAAACAAAAGGACTCAGACTTTTGTCTGATGAGCATCGAGCTTGGCCAGCGCAGTCTTGCCGGTCTTCTTGTTCTTCTTTGCCGCTGTGAATGTCGGGTCGAAGTTGATCGCACTTCCAGCTTTGGAGGAACCGTTGGAGACCCAACCTGCTGTCCAGCCGCTTTTTTGTGAGTGCGTCCCCGAGGTCGTAATCGGACGCTACCCACCTCAACTCACAGCCTGTGCGCTTCAAGTGGTCGCGCAACAATTGAAAGGCTTGTAGAGCTGATCGAAGGTTCGCCAACCCCAGTAGCGGCGATTCATTGACTTCAACTGCGTCGAACCCTCCTCGGCTGTCTGTGCACAGCACGCCGTGCACCCGGCGGACAATCTCCTCCATGGCGTCCACCATGTCGAAGCCACGTAGGCTTTGGATCTTCAGTCGGGTGCCATGGATTTCTGCTCATAGCAATCTGCAGCGGAACAGGACATCTTCCGTCTCCAAAATCGCCTGGACCTCAGCGTCGTTGCTTCCCACTGCCCGGCGTTTTAGACGCCAGGTGCGCCAAGCCAAGAGGCTCATCCTGCAGACATGTCCGGCCTTGCAAGCCGGTGATGAGGCCAGGATCACGAAGCCTCCAGTGCTCTCGCCTTTGCTCCTGTTGTTGTGAGCTTGATCGCCCATGCCGATGAACACTACCTCGGACCAATGGGAGATGTCATCAAACTTCACGAACTCGAGAGATGTGGCCTGAGCACGGCATTCGGCAATCATTGCCTGGATCTCCCTGGCATGTTCCAAGGTTCCGGCAGTGGTGACCTCAGAAAGGAGCAGGTTGCACCGCGCAGTCAGGAGTGGTTGCGACTGCACAGCGAGCCATTGTAGGGCTCCGAGCGCCGTCCGGCACGCTGCGACCTCTGAGGGTCGGAGAGCATCTTGCTCACGGAGACGGTTGGCATCGATGTCAATGTCCATGAGCCCTTCCACATAGCTGTTCTGGTCGACCACAATCTTGAAATTGCCAGAGCGGTCGACCACGGTGTGAACATCAGAACCAGCGTGCCTATAGGAACCCTGCTTCATGGTTCCCCACTGGTATGCAGAGTCGATGAGGTGGCACACTTCATTCCACTCGGCTGAGGTTTCATCACCGATCCTGTGGAAGTCGTCCACGTGTCCGCCCATCAGGCCGGTGAGGCGAGGATGATCACTATGTGGATCTTTTTCGTGCTTGCTGTACCAAGCACATAGACATCGTTCACCTCGAACCACGTGGCCGCCCAGAGATGTGAGTTTCTCATTGAGCGACAGCCATAGCCCGCGGGGAGCTGTGGTGCTGCCATATATGTTTCGAAGAATCCGCAGGCAGGAATCTTCAGGAGCTCCAAGTGCAGCACGAAGTTCCGGCACCCCATAGGTGTAGAGCTGGTTGTCGGCAGCTGTGGGCTCGGTTTGCAGGAAGGCAGAGGCCAAATCAAGTCCTTGCAACTTCCATTGATGTGTCACGGAGGCCATGTAGATCATATGGCGTCCCAATGTAGAGATGACCGGGGCAGACGTTTTGAAGTTGCGCTCAAGCAAGCTTGGATGCTGGAAGCCAAGCAAGACGATCCTTGCTTTTGCCTTTCTGGTGGCATCGTGATTTACCACCGTGTTGGGGTTGTTGAGCTGATCTTGTACTGCTTCTTGACGCTCATCAGGCGTGACAGGTTTCCAAGTCAGCACCCATCTTGCTTTCAGAATGCGTCCGCGGGCCAAAGGCTTCACGAGCTTCATCATCATCCAGGCAGCGTCGAACTGCGCTGTTGCGCAAGAAGGAAGTGACCTCCTTGGACTTGGCCCGGTTGAAGAGAACCAAGTCCTGAGCACTGACATTTTTGAGGTTCACCTCGGAGGAGTTGAGCTTCTTGGTCAGGTAGAGGACAGGGTCCTGCGTGAAGCTGCGGCGTTGTCGCCGGTTCTTGAGTTCAATGTCCACTTCGATGGAGAGGCATTCACCATCATAGGACTCCAGGAAGGCGAAGAGATCGTGGTGCGTGATCTCATCTTGCGCCTCTTCACGAAGCAGATCCAACCATTTGAGGTCATACTCAGTCTCATGGTCGCCACGATGGCGTTTGACTTCTGGCTCCTTAGCGTCGGCCAATTTGAGCTTCTTTGGATCTGGCGCTTCATTTTCTCCATAGTCATTGACCCTTGTAGAAGACGAAGGCAAGGATGTAGTGCCCTCTGGTTCAGAATCATCGCCAGGTTCTGGATCTGGCAGAGATGGTGTGTACTCTTCATCAGGAACCTTGAAGTCCTCTGATGAACAATTGGACTGGATCGATGCACGACCTTGTAGTCGGAGTCCTTCAGGGTGGGTTTTCCCACAGCTCGGCGAATCGGAGCCAGCGTAGTCTCATCTGGAGCCGCTGGTAGGTCAGGTAGTTCCTGATCGAGTTCGCCGGGTTCTTCATCAAGAAGGTCGGTGTACTCCTTCTTGGGGATCATATCATCCAAGGACTTCCATTGTGTGGGGTCTTCCCCTGATGAAATTTCGTGCCGAAGTCGTTCAGTTTCATTTGCAGGCCGGACGGAGTGAACTGAACAGCGAAGGAGTTTGCGTCCAAAAAGAACCCAAACAATGTGTTGCCTCTTGTCATCAATGTCCTGGTGTGGGATTGCTTCGGCGAACACGACTCTTCCGGGTCCCACCCATTGAGGCCTTCCGGACTTTTTGTGTCCTCCACGAGAACCTTGATGTTGTTCTCCAGCTTGAAGTTTGCGCCAGACCATGACCAGTTCTGTCGGCGCATACTGTCGGACCGGTTGTCGGACAGTAGTGTTGGCCAGCTTACTTAGCACCCTTCTCGCACGCGATCGACGCGCAATCTCCTCAGCTTCAGAGCGAGCCTTGGTGATCCGAAGAAAATCTTCCTTGGGCTCGATGGCATTCCAGATGCGAATGTCCTCGTCGCTGATGGAGTACTTAGTGCCAAATGCCCATTGATGGGAGGAGTAGCCGGCGGTGTATTCAGTGCCATTCAAGGCTGAAGCTGCCAGCGTGAGAGTCATCTCAGGGCTGTTGTTCAGGTTCTCCTGGTGGATAGCTGTAGCCACGTGCTTGATGTCAGCAATGGCGGCCTCCACAATGCCATGACCCCACGGCTCTTTCTCAGGAGGGTAGTGGACCTGAATGTTCTCGGACTGGAGGAAGTCGTGGAACTTTGAAGAGATGAAGCTCTTGGCATTGTCGGCAACCACCAGTTTTGGTCGTGGGTAATGACCAAGCCAGCCTTGAACAAGTGCCTGAATGATCTCATCGGTTGCCTCGGGTTGCATAGCCAACTCCGGGTAGAGCTTGAGAAGCACCACAACACGAAGCTTGGTGGCCAGGTCGATGATCAACAGGAATCTGGCCTTCTTTCGTAGACCAGGAACCAGCCATTCGGAGGTGTCCAAACCAATGCACTCCCATGCACGTGGTAGTGCGTGAGTTGCTGCAGGAGGAACTTGGCCCGATGATGTGCCACCAGGCTTGAGGGCCTTGCAGGTCTCACATGTGTGCTCCAGAGCAGCTTGTATCTTCCACAATGGACCTCCAGCCTCTCGCACAAGACGAGCGAGGTTGCGGGCAGTTGGATGACCCGCTGCTTTGTGGAAATGGGCCAGCCGGGCCTTCCACTTTTTCAGCTCATCCGAGGTTGGAGTCAGGGAGGTAGAGCTGGATGTGGCACCACCTTCGGGTAGAAGTTCTTGTCCCGCTGGTTGTTCTTGGAGAGCAGGTAGTGCTTGAAGTGCAGCACGCTCCATGTTGATCTCGTCCTCAATCGGGATCATGTAGGGCTTGTCCTCCTTGGCAAAGATGAGCTGCATGTTGCGGTCAGAGACATACTCTTGACGCCATGCCAGGGCCATCGATTTGACCATGCGCCATGGATAGTAGGAGCTCTTCGATGTCTCGGCTCCCTGAATCCAGGCATGTCGGTGGCTGCCAGGACATACCTTAGCTTTGAAGCGCTGGTGGAAGAAGGAGCTGGTTGTCCGAATCATCCATCGCTTCCGGAGGAAGTCGCCAGCACCATCATCAGCACGGAGACCATAGTTGCACCCATCAACACGGCATGGAAGCCATTCACGACCGCGAGCTTGAAGGAGGTGAGCAATGTACTCCAAAGGTCGTTGATTCCATCCTTCGCAAGGCCAGGGCCATTCCCAGTAGATGTCGGTCTCGGGGTCCTCGTTGAGGGTGTCTTCAATGAAGTGAGCTGCTTGCCATAGCATGCGTCGCTCCCGACGGCGATATGTGGCCAGCAGTTCTTGACGCTCCTCTGTGGCGTAGTTGAGCTTGGACCATTGGCACCACTTGGTGCAGGGAAGACTGAACCACAGTCGCCGGGGACGATGACGGCGTCGAAGACCCTTCAAATGCTCCCAGGTTGCCGTCTTATAGATGTCATAGCCCTGTTGGAGGTTAATCCGGCGAGGTCGATGACCTTGTTGGTCGCAAGCTTCACTGAGCCACGAGTGAGGTGCACAGGCGATCTCCCAGATGCCATCCTGCTCATCGAGGACGAAGTCCATAGTTGTTGATGCCATAGAGCTCAGCAGCGTTGTAGCCATCAGCAGCAGCTTCGCGGCCATAGAGCTCTTCAAGGGCATAGTGGAAGAGGTCGATGAAGTCATGCATCCTCCTCGTAGGCCTGAGCCAATCCGGTCATGGCAGCCAGTTCTTGCTCTTCCATCACGGCCTTGCGTTCCTCGAGGAGCTGCATGAGCTGTTCCATCTCCTTGGGGTTCAGCAGCTGCTTGACATCCTTCTCGAAGTGGTCGGTCGGTGGAGGAGTGCAAATCTCCCATGAGGAAGGACTGGATGTCTGACCCTTGGTCTTGTTCCTCGAGGTCGGGGTCGCCGGCGAGGTGGAAGGATACCCGGAGCTTTTCACCACGGCCTTGCCCGTCTGCTCCGGCATGTTGCGCTCCCCTTGGATCTTGGAGATCTGGCGGTGCACGAGGTCCTCCAGGACGATGTCCGCATCCACCTTCTTCTGCATGGCATGGACGGTCTCGGCCGATGGACGTTCCGAGTTCATCAAAACTTTCAGCTCGCCCAGCATCCGTTGAACCAAGGGTGGAGCATCGGTCTTGGTGTTCTGGCCATGGGAGCCCTTGCGAGGGACATACATCCAGCGGATGTTGCACACTTGGCAGTGTTGCCATTGACCGTGAGGGTTCGCTCGCACTGAGCCCAGGTGATGTTCCCCGTAGCACGGCCACTGCTCCGGACTCATCCGAGGATCTCTTGGATCCGGGCCGACTCCTCGAGGAGGATCGAAGGGCCGAGGTGGCTCCTTCTCGCGGCTGCCGGTGATCTTCTCCCTGAAGTCCGCGGCTGCCGTCTTGATGTCCCAGATCTTGTTCCCCTGCTCTTCGGTCAGCTGGCTGCCCTTGCTCCGGGACATGGCAAGAGTGGTCCGGGGAAATCGAATTGGGCGTCGGGCTTCCAGCCACGTGCATTTGAGCAGCTGAGAGCTGAAGACGGCGGCCACAAACATAATCATGTAGTGTCATCAACTGTTGACGTGACTGTCGGAGTCGGGCTTCATCATGTTCATGAACCACTCGTGCATGTTCTTGGGAAAGAAGTTCCAAGGGCATGAACTGAAGTGTGTGGTGGTCGTTGATCATGTTGGAGGTGTCTTTCTCAATCACATGGATGTGGGGATGTCCATCATGACATGTAAAACCACGGGTGAGGAAAAAGGCGATGTCCAACATGTAGTGACCCTTCTTGTTCTTTTCCAACTGGTAAATGTCTGGATGGGCCTCATGTGAATCCAAAGCAAAACCTGTTGCAAAGTCAACCATCATGGACGAATGTGGACCTGCCAAATGGTTCATGCCGATCAGGATGGGGACCAGTTGCGACCGATCGAACGAAGGATCATGAAGACCTGGTGGATTTGGTAGTGCATAAAGTTCAAAACAATGAGGCTTTCCAGAAACAGCCGAGGTCAACGAAACACGATAAAGCGCTTGTCCCCATTTGCCGTTCCCGAACCTGAAGTAGGGCCGATCTTCTTTGTGAATCGAAACCACGGCCTGTCGGTCACGGTCGACGATCGTTGAGATCAGTTGCTCAACTGCAATCTGAGGGCCAGCAGAAGCTGTAGCCCCGCAATCCAGGAGACCATGTGTCTCAGATGGAGAAACCGTGCGCTCAGTCTCATTGATCTGAGCCTGCAAATCTAAGGCACCAAAGAGCATCTCAGTGTTGTAGGCATTGACGGAAGGTCGTCCCACTGGGGCATTGGACTTGCCCTTCCCTTTCTTGCCTTTTGTGCAGGCTTGAGCGTCAAGCCAAGGGACATTCTTTCCCTTCTTGCCACCACCCTTCTTGCCCGTGAAGAAGTCGTCGTACGTGTACGGATCATACTCAGTCAGGTAGTTCCATTTGCTCTTGCCTTTTCCCTTGTAGGGACCAGGATGTCGACGGTCAGGGCATTCTCGAGAAAGATGAGGGCCTCCACATTGGAAGCAGGGACCACGTCCTTTGCCCATGCCACCTGATGGAGGTTGTTGTCCGAAACCACGATCTTTGCGAAGCGCGGCGGTCGCTCTTTGAGCTTCAGCCCAGGAACGTTGAGCTTCCACAGCCAAGGATTCGGCCATGCGCTCAGCTTTCTGCGCTTCTTTCAAGTCCTCGTCATTCTCCTCCTGGGTGGTGTTCTTGTCCTCGTAGGCCTCCACGTTGTAGGCGTCAGCCCAATCCCATGAAGACCAATCCTCTTGTCCCCCGTCACCGGAGACGTGACATGAGTCCCAGGTGGCGGGGTGCCACTCAGCTTCAGGTTCTTCCTCCTCAACAGTGGCCAATTCGTGCCAGTTGGAGTTGAAGAGAGTTGGATGTGATGAGCGGCTGCCAGTGAACTGCTCGTCCCATAGGGTCTGGAGTGCCCTGTTCACCTCATCGAAGTCGAGGGATCCATGGGTCGCCGACAAAATGTCTCGGCGTTCATCAGCACTCAAGCCTGCGGCTTGAAGAAGGCGGAACCCTCGCGAGACTCCGAGGACGAAGGAGTCTGCAAAGCTAAGCTCATTGAGCTCCTCACCAGCCAGTGAGGGCTGCACCCCAGCCGATCGTCGGCTAGGTGAAGACATCGTGCCTTGAGGTACACGTTGATATCCACCACCATGAGGCGAGCCACTCTCCGCTCGGGACGTAGACGCCGGCAATGTCGTAGTGGGTTGAGCCAAGTTGGGATCGAAGTCACCATTCTCGGGGTCAGGAGCGTTCACATCGTCCTGCGGCCACTCAGCCCAATCATCCCACCATGCATCCCAGCCGGAGTCATAGTCCTGCTCATAGTCAGCCTCCCCAGCAGGAAGGCCAAAGTCCTTGTCCTCTTGTCGAATGCCACGCTTCTCCTCAGCCAGGCGCACCAAAGCCTCAACAAACTCAGAGAAGCCAAGTGCTTCCCTGACCAGGAACTGGGTCATAGGCTCGTGAGCCTTACGAGCAAAGCTGAAGTACTGATTGCAAATCGCCGAGGCGTTGGGGATGCTCTGGCGCACCAACGGAGAAGCAGCCAGGCGCTGCAGCAGAACCTTAGTGCCCCCATAGTCGTCCAGCGACATGTCACTCCAGCTCATAGCCAGTAGCCTCGCCGGGCCGGTGAGGCGTGAGAGAAGCTTGGTGGCGACATAGCGGCGCTTTGCCACCGGTGTAGCTCGGAAAAACCAGGAAACCTCTCGTGTGTATTTACGCCACGTTCGTGGCGACCCATCCCACGATGGGATAGAGAAGTTGCCATCTTCTTTGGACATGCTCGGGGCTGAAAACCAACTCAAAGGAAAAATGGAAGAGGGGCTTGCCAAGGTCCAGCTGCCAAGTCCGCGCGAGGACAATCTTCAGGATGTAGGGCTAGCAAGGGACCAAGGCGCTGGAGCTTGCGCTCCGCTACCATGTAGCAGGAGCGCAGCGGTAGCGAAACGAAGGGCTCGAAGAAACCATGACAAACGAAAGGCGGCCGTCGCCTATGGCACTGTTTTCGAAAGACCGCTGGGGTCTGGCTGCAAAAGGGGCCCCTGAGCATGAACAGCCACGGTGGAAAAGTGGCATCTTTACATGGAGGCTCGATGCACGTGTCGCACATACCTAATTGCATATATACAAACATATTGATACGGGCCCAAGGGTAGTCTCTTTTCCAGCTACCCCCATTCTTCTTGAACAGCGGGCCATCGCTGGGAGGTGACACAGCCGACGAAAACTCCCCATCAAAGTCCTATCAGTAAACCATGCAGTAGATCTCTGCCATTCTTTGCCACTATTGAAAGGCCAGCCAGCTGTTCAATCCATCAGCCATAACAATCTAAGAGTAACAAGAATGCATTTTTTCTGCTTTCCACTCCTTTTTTCATCTCTTTGCTCCCGTCACTGCCGTGGAAAGCAGACCAGGAGTCGATTCAAGGCTCGCTCGGGTGAGGTGGCCGCAGCATTGCCGGGCCTTCGTTTCGCGGACTGGGGGCACCATGCAAAACCAAAGCATGGTTTCCACAAATGGCAGTTCAGGTCGCCACTTGGGTCGTGAGATGTCTGGATTTGTTGCGTTGGCTATGAAAGATGGATCCAACAGCGAGAATTCACCTTTTGATTTGGTCGGAAGCTTGCCATGATGAAAGTGGCCAGTGGCCGAGTTGATCATCTTCTTGTGGGGATTCCTCATGCACCTACGTGATCTAACATAGCTGCCGTAGCACCTCTCTCCAATTCTCTACTCTAAGGGTTGGTGGTAAAAGAACATCTTCTCCTAGCTTAAGTGTTCCTAAGCTCCCGGCCCAAAAAATAACCTGGAAAGTATTGCCTTCCCGAGAGCTGCGCCATTTTGCTTGATCAAGTGAGTGCTAGATTCGATAAAACGACTTCAATAATCAGCAAATCCTCGGTTTTGGCAGTCAGGATCCTACAGCAACACGTTCAAACAAAACTTCTGAAAATCCCGCGGAGGCTTCCAAGCTTTGGAGGGAATACTCCCATGTCAAGGGATAATTAGGATTCGGACTCGCAAACATACTTTAACTATAGTTATGTTATGTATACACAGAAATTTGTTTTAAGAGCGGCGGCGTTTATGTTACTAGGCTCAAACAAACTATATATTTTGTGGGGGCCCTATCTGGTTGGTTGTTTTGTTACTAGGCTCAAATCCACTATCTAATATGCGGGAGCCCTATCGGCCCTATCTGGTTTAGACTACTGAAGTATTGGAGGTCATGTCGCGGTATCTCGTTCAGGCTACTTTAGTGTCATCAAAAACGGTACCTCGTCTATGTCGTTCATCAAAGAATACTGATGTTGGACAAACAACTAGCAACTAGAGCATGGTGTAGACTGCTTTAATAAAGAATTAGTAGAATTAAGTGGTCTCTCTCACACGCACATATATATATATATTTATTTATAGTTATATATATACACACATCTGATGGGTGTTGAGCACCCTGCGTGCCATCTTCAACTTACCATCAGGATTGAGCCCGCTGTGTCGTGGCCAACCAGCAAACCATCTCGAACCGGACAGTGTATACAGCCGGGAACCCTGTAATCATGTGTCTCCAACTGATGACTCCTCGCTGTTTGGTCTACAAGGGGATTTCTATCCAAGCACACCACCAATGGCGCTTCGCCGCAGCGCCTCCATTCGTACTTGCCCGTGGGCTGGGAGATCCAAGAAACCTGGCGCTGTTGCCCTTGCCAAACATGTACTTCCTCACCCGTTCTGAAACCACAACCCTGCAACCCCTCACCCTTTGCTTGAGCCATTTTGAAGACTTGTGGTTGAAGTTAGAGATATTTCAGGAATTGTTCTTAGTCAAGGACATCGTCAGTATGGGCGTCCATCGTACACGTTGGAAATAAACGAGAGACTGGTTTTTCTCACTTCTTTTTGACCCCAGAGGGCCCTAAGGAGTTCACTCTTTCGCCCTTCAGTTGTCAGTACTTGGCATATTCTGAAAAAACAGGTGAACACCCAAGTGAACAAAAGAGTGAAAAAAGCGACCGCTGCTCTTTTCCTCATAGCTTGAGCCATGGGCGTCAGGTCGTGCCCATGCGATCAGGAACGAACCGGCAGGATTGGAAGGCCAACAGGTTGGAACCGCGATCAACCGTCTTCAACATACTCAAACTCACACCCATCTTTCTTTTTGGCCTTCAATCCCTCCGATGGGTTCAGATCGATTTCCTCGGCCATCATCAGCCGCTGCAAGCCGGCATGTTTCATGCCCTTCGTGAGAGGATCTGCCAGCATCTTATCCGTGCTGGTCCAGGTGAGCTTGGTGCTCCCATCGCTCGGCAACCGATCCGTCGCCAGCGGATCTCCCACTTCTTCTCCTGGAAGGCGCCACAGGGTTTGGCGCAAGCCACAAAGGTCGATGGCCAGACGCTTGTCTGACACGACGTGCAAGCCAGCTTGATTGCCGTGGTCGTGTAACGAACGGCAGTCCGTCAGCCATTCCACCAACACTCCATCCATCGCAGACACTTGCCAGTGAGGTTGTCCACAATGAGGATGGCGGAGACCATGTAGCACGAACCTTAAGTGCTCTGCTTCCTCGCTCCCTGCAAGAAGGCTGAGAGCTTCTGATTGAAGCGTGGATCGACAGACCCGCTTCAGCACGGTGCTGTGCCACTCGATATAGGCCAGTCGGCCTGTCTTGCTCTCAAAGAAGCTCCGGTCAGCGAGGCATAGAAGACGTCCACTTTGGCTCCGATGAGCCATTCTGGCACCTGAAGAACTGGCCTCATGGTCGGCAGCATGACTGGCATCTTGAATTGCCAAAATCATCACATTCTCAAACTTGAAGGCGCCGACGGGGTAAGCCAGACCAGCTTCCTTAGTCTTTTGTGCCAGGGCCACAATTGAGTTGGCATACTTGACGTCCTCATAGGTCGCAGAGCTCACGCTCATCTGCATCTTGCAAACGGCGTATGCCAGGTCAGGGCGGCATACCCTTGACAACCAAGCCAAGCTTCCAATGATGCTGCGAAGCTGCCCACGGACTCCTTCAGAGACTGGTTGTTCTGCACGACGCTTCTGCTCATGGGTCAGCCAGATCGGGCGAACACGATCGATCAAATTGTCACACTTGACGTAGATCTTCTCAGCATCACGGGAGATGTTCCTGCCACAGTAGCGGAACTCATTACACTCGATCTTGCCGAACTTGTAGTGGTCGCAGACCTCTTTCATGCGAGCTTCAACCAAGGTTCCACCCGTCCATAGGAGGTCATCAACGTGGGTGATCAGGATGCCCGCAAGAACGCCCTCCTTCTCCAAGAGCGTGTATGCTCCAGGTTCAAAGGGCACAGGAAGGAAGCCCTTCTTCTTGAGAGTTCCATCCAGATTCTTCCACCAACCACGTGGGGCGTCTCGAGTGCCGTAGACGGTGGATGAGACGATGTAGTACATGTTGGGATCAACACCAGGCACTCCATCTTTTGGCAACGAGTCACATCTCATCAGCGAGCTATCTTCAAGGTCGCCACGAACCACAAGGCGTGACTTCAGCTTCTCAGGCTCGCCAATCTCGCTCTTGTCAACATCTACCCACCTCGTAGGGATGATCTTGAGGTTGGGATTGTTGGCCATCATCTGCACAACTTCCTCCTCCGTCACCAGTCGACCATCGCTGTAGAATTTCCAGTTGTGCCATTCTTTCTCTCTGGTGGCGATCAACTTCTTTTGCATTTCTGGCTCTTCCTTGGAGAAGTTCAGCTCGCGGCCAGCTCCGACTTTCTTCTGAGTCTTCTTCTTATACTTCCGCTCCGTCTTGGTGGCGATGAAGCTATCGGAGGCTGATGGCTCACGGCGACGAAAAATGCCATCCAGGCGGTCAGGACTCTGCCGAAGTGACTGAGTGAGAGGTGTCACTTCTTCATTGATGATCGATGTAGTGCTTGGTCCTGCTGGATGTGTGGAGACACTTGTAGTCGGAGGAGTCTCCCATTCCGGTTGGCTGCTCATTGTTGAGCCTCGAGTCATAGGCTCAGCAGGCGGTGTCGTCACACCATCTTCATTGATTTCCATGTTCTCCAGCCCAGGAGGAGGTGCTGGAGGTTCATGCGAGGTTCTGCATGAGGTTGAGGCATCGATGAGGACGAAGGTGCGATAGTTTCTTCAGCACCCATCTCAACATCTCCAGGGTTAGCAGCCACTCCTGTCTCGCCTGTGTCTCTCGCTTCTTGGAAGTCCACAAAAGGGACCTGTTCACGAGGTCCGCCTCCTCCACCACCAAGGTTCAGGTCCTCGATGTAGTCATCAGCAAAGGGGAGGTCGTCCTCGTCTTCCCAGTCATTGAGGATCTGTCGTTTCCTCTTTCTCTCAGGCCTGAGTTCCAAGGCCTGCTTCTTCAGCACTTCATCAGTGGTAGCCGGGCGGCAGGAAGTTTCTGCCACAAGGATTGCAATGCCCGAATGGAGAAGCCATAGCGAAGACTTCCCTTCATTGGCCAAGACTCTAGCTGGGCCATACCACTTGCCTTTCTTGCTGAAGCTCACCAAATCACCACAGCGGTAAGGGCCACGCATCGGCGTGCTCTTCCTCAACATAGCCTTTCGGATCTTCTGGCTGGTGTCCAGCTTGATGAAGGCTTCTTTTGCCCATTGGCGCACAAGCAACTGCCGGGTGAAGGTGTCTTGAGTTCCTTCTTCAGCATCCACAAGGCTCTGGTGCAAGCCAAGATGTCCTTCGGGATCTTGATTGGCAAGTGAGGTGATGTCCATGGGCTGAAAACCCATCACCCATTGCGAAGGCGAATAGCCGTGCTGGTTCATGAAGAGGTTCTTGACTCTTGCAGCTTCTGAGCACAAAGCAGAGATGTCTTCTGCTCCTTGAAGTTGACGTTCATGGATGGCTCTTTTCATGATCTCTTTCAGAAGTCCTCCATGTCGTTCTCCAACTCCAAGTTGATGTGGTGCTCGAGCTCCGGTCTGTCGAATGACCGTTCCAAGCAAGGTCAAGAGGTGTGCTACCTTGCCTCGGTTGTGAACTCCTTGATCAGCAACAAAGTAGGTTGGGGCGCCTGCCCACGACAACCAGGCTTGGTTCAAAGCATCAGCGCACACCTTAGAGCTTGGTGTTCCACCTCCTCCAACTCGAACTGCCACGTGGAAGTGTGTGGTCACGTCCACAAGCGATAAAACTGAGTGTCGATGGTGCTGGCAATCATGAATCTCAAACACATCAGCTGACAGCTCGTAGTTGAAGTGCATCTGAGAGGAAGGTCTAGGCTCCTTTGTCACACGCGGCTGTTCATCTTTCTGAAGCTCTTTGCACACCTGACACTGGAAGAACTTGACAGCGTCAATGACGTCCTTGTCAGCAGCTGAAGCCAGAAGCATTCTCCTCAAAGCTGTGGTTGAACAGTGTCCAGTCATAGTGTGCAATCGCCTTATCGCAAGCCGCTTCTCTTTTGGCAGCGTCAGCCAACCTCTTCTTCGCTTGTCCTCCTGCTCCATGACCAATCGGTCTTCTCTGTTCACAGGCACCGATTGCTCCAGGACAAGCTCTTCTCGCTCGATCTCACGAGCGTCAATGCGTCGCTTCTTCTGGAAGGGTGCAAGGTCTTGCTCTGAGTGCACAGCATCCATTTCACCCATTTCTTCATGGTTCTCGAAGATCTCCTCAACGGGAAAGGCTTGATGCAAAGTGCCATACAACAACTCTTCATAAGCTCCAAGGACGATGGCATGACAAAGCTCCTGCGGCCATTGTTCAGCTACTCGGGTGCGGTTGCTTCCTTCAAGAGGTTGATGATCATGAGAATGATCACATCGCCGACAAAGATGTCGCTTCATGTAGTGCGAAGACAGCAGCAGCCCGGTGCTCTTCTGGTGAGGTAGACCATTCTGTGGATCTTTGAGACCATATTGACACTGGTCGATCTTCACGACTTCAACAGGTTCTTGGGTCTCCTCATGATAAGGCCGTCCAAGGAGAAAATCCTCCATGCACTTGATCGTCCAAGCGGCACTTGTCCATGGATGCTCCATCATCACGTGCCTCCCTTTTCGCAAACGAGACTTGAAGACATCAATGAGCCACTTGAAGACAGGATACCATTTCTGGCGCTCCACGTAGATGCGGCTCTCCAGATCGAAGCTCTTGCTGGCGTTAATGTTCTGCCAAGCCGACCATGGACCACATTTTGGACCTGCAATCAGAACGAAGGGGTCCATGTCATCAATGTAGCGGCCCACTGACTCTCGGTTGGCAGGCTTGAGCAAGTCATGCAGGGGATCCAAGTTCACATCAATGGGTCTTCCAACTGGCAATCCCCATGAGGCGGCCAAGGCGGTCACCATCGCTGCGCCAGCAAACAACTCCATGAGAAAACACTTGCATCCAACGGGAAGCAGTCTTCCTGGCTTGCGAAGTCCTTGAGCATGTCGTAGTGTGCCCCATAGTGCCAAATCTTCACGGTGCACATTCTGAGTGGACTCTTGCATCATCTTCCGCTGTCCGCGGGTCATCACCTTTCTTGGCGACTCAGCCAGGTTGACATAGTTCAGAGTGTCCTCTTCTTCAATCTGGGACTTGTCAATCTCAGTCTCATAGATCTCCTCAGTGCCAGAGCTAGTGCAATTGGGCGAACTGGTCACATTCGAAGAAGGAGATCCCTCATACGAAGAAGCATTGCTCGGCGAAGTCACAGTGGTTTCGTTTGAGCTCATAGTGGATGAAGTCTCTGACATAGGCAACTCTGCATTGAGGGCCATGTCGGTCTCTGCCTCATTGGTTGGGATGAGTCTCACAGCTGGCAGTCCATCTCTATCAACCAACTCCAAGAACTGCCCCATCTTCTTGCTGTAGACGGTGTGCTCATCCAAGTCGATCACCAGTCCCAAAGAGCGCTGTGCCTTGGTGCTCAAAAGCAACGGTGCATCGCTTCCGCCAAGCTCAGTGGAAGTGATCGTTCCAGAGGCAATCGTCCCGTCCGCGAGGGCGAAAAGAACGGGAATCTTTCTCAGGCCAATGACCTTCACATTTCCTCCAACTCCACGTACTCGACCTTGGTGAGGGAGCAGCTCATAGCTTTGACCCGTCAGCTTCATGTAGTTCTCAATCCATCCGGCACCGTGGCATGTGTTGTTGCATCCCGTGTCCAAGATGCACAGCAACTGATCTTCACATTTGGAGCCACTGAAAGCCATCATGGCAACTGACTGCCGTGTGGTGAGATACTTGGCAAACTCCAAGAGCTGAGGATTCTTGAGGTTCTTTCCCTTCACCTGTCCAAGGATGTAGGTGCAGTAGGAGTGCTCTGTCTCAGCAATCATCCTGAAGGTCTTACCCTTTTGCTGACCGTGGTTCATGATCTCAGCATCCCACGCAACCAAATCTTCAGACAACACATCACGAGGTCCAAGTGCTGGGTCACCTGGAGTGGAAGGTGCTGAACTTGTAGAAGCTCTTGCCGGGGTGTAGAACTCATAGCCAGCAGTTGTCCGTGGTGGCGTCGATGGCATAGGCCGTGAAGTAGGCACTCCATGAGAAGGCATCGACTGAGGGACATAGATCGTGTCCTTGCAGCGCTGGTAGATCACATCAAGAGTGTCTCCAGTGATCACGGCTCCAGTCTGTCGCTGGATGCTCAAAGTCAGCTGCATCAACTCGATGACCTTGGACGGAGGGTCATCCAAATACCACTCAGCAACTGCGCCAACTCGAAGAGGTGCAATCTCAGCGGCTCTTGCTCCACTCTCGCCAGGGTTCTTGGAACCTGATGCAGTTTCACCACAATCCAAGCAGCGCCACTTCCATGTAGTTGCAGTGGTGCCTTGGTAGTTCTTCCTGGCATGTGAGCAGGTGCTGACTTCTTTGGTCTCCATGGTCTTCCCGGCACTCCTCTTCTCAAGATGAAGAACGAAGCCACAGTCCTTACACTTGATGATGGACTGGTAGGCATTCGATCCGGCACGAGTGCGGTTGGCATGAGTGCAACTTCTCTGCTTCAATGTCGGGTCCTGCGGAGGTGGCTTCATCATGAAACGATTCAAGCCGTTGGGATCATCTTCACGAAGCATCTCCTGCACACGAGCTGCTTGAGATCCTGGTAGCGGAGGTACATCATCATGAAGCGCTAAGCCCGACTGTGGCATCATACTCGGTGGTGCTAAGCCCGACTGTGAGGGCATACTCGGTAAGCCGGTCATACTTGATGGAACCGTCATACCCAAGAGTGATGGCATACTGGGCGCTGGAGATGCAAGACCAGGCATGGAAGGCAAAGTCCACGATGAGACACTCATCACTGAGGCGGTGTCACCATGGTCTTGAAGTGCGAGTTCATGAGCCTCCCAATCAGCATCTTCAGGCACCGGGTGCTGGTGTGCCTCTTGCTGCAATGCCATAGTCTGTTGCTGCTGCATCAACCGTGCTTGTTGAAGGGCCATGTCAAGCATCTGGTCAGCAGTCATCTCGTTCTGAGCTGCCACAATGGTGCCATCGTTCAAGCTCGAAGGCGGAGGAACAGTGCCATAGTTCGTGACCGCCATGTAGACCTGAGCTTCAAGGTCATAGGGCTTCTCTTGGTCCTCATCATACTCGGTCACGGAGAAGTAGACCACACGAGGCTTGTTGCCCTTGCCTTTCTTTCCACCGCTGGATGCCGTCGTGGTCGTTCCAGTCATAGCCGACGATGAAGATGACTTTCCACCTTTCTTACTGCCAGGATGCTTCGGGCAAGAGTAGTCGGTGCTCCAATGGCCAGACTGGCCACAGCGCCTGCAGGTCGTGCGCTTCTTGAGGTCCTCGAGGGCCCGACGTCGATCAGGTGTTCCTGAAGAACCTTTGCCCTTGCCCTTGTTGTGGCACCAGTAGTTGGATGAGCCTTTGCCTCCAAATCCACTGTGCCCCTGACTCTGGGCTTTGTTGTGCAGGAACATCGCTTCAGCTTCCAGCTGAATCACTTCACAGGCATAGTCAACTGCCTCACTGTTGTTCACGTCCAGGCCTTCTTCAACCAAGGCGGCATAGGACTCCATGGCATAGTCCACCTCTGAGTTGGGTGGCTCATAGGCATCAACTTCTTCAGACACACCAGTGTAGTAGGAGGCGGGATCGTCATAGTCCTCGTAGCCTCCAAGGGATTGCGAAGCATCATCCCATTGATCATCAGCCATTGCAGCCATGTCCTGGTAGGTTGGTGGCGTCCATGAATGAAATGACTTGGACTTCCCTTTTCCGCTGCGGCTGAACCGGTGGTCATGCTGGCGATCTTGTCGATGTCGAAGCTCCTTCTCGTGGATGTTCGGGTGCTGGGCAATGAGTTCATTGCAGACATCATTCACTGTCATCTTTCCAGCCAAAGCCGTGCGGATGAGGAGCTGGTGGTCATTGGAAATGCCACTCGACATCAAGACCTGCTCTGACAGGATCGCTTCCGGCAGGGCCAGCTTGTCGTCCAGGTCGCACAACATCTTGTACCAGGTCCGACGACGAAGGAGGAACGAGGTCATCGGTTCCCGTTCTGCCGGCTCAGAATGCCGTGCGTCTGAGCTCCTGCTGCATAGAGCTCTCTGGCCTCCTGCTGTCTCCTCGGGTGAAAGGCTTGGTAGAGGTGGCGAAGCAACAACTCATGGCCGTCCTTCTCGCTGAGTTTGCTGACTTCAATTTCTCGAACCACCTGCAATGCGGCTCCTGTGAGCCCATCTATCAGGCGCAAGCCCAATGGCCCCAACTTCTTCAGCTCGCTAGGATCCATGGCCTGATCCCTTGCAGCACGTAGTCGCACCCTGAAGGCATATTCCTGAAGGGTTGCGGGGCTCCCATCGTAGCGAGGAACTCCCTTGCCCTCAGTGCCAGCGAGGACCGTCTCCGAGGTCTCGGAGAACTTGTGCCATTTAAGGCACTCGAGCGCCGCCATCCGCCCGGGCGCAAGAGCGTGAAGGTGCCCCCAAAACAAGGAGAAAGCTCTGCCTATGTGGTGGGGTCCCTGGGAGAACAAAGCTCCGGTGCCAATCTGAAAAACAGGTGAACACCCAAGTGAACAAAAGAGTGAAAAAAGCGACCGCTGCTCTTTTCCTCATAGCTTGAGCCATGGGCGTCAGGTCGTGCCCATGCGATCAGGAACGAACCGGCAGGATTGGAAGGCCAACAGGTTGGAACCGCGATCAACCGTCTTCAACATACTCAAACTCACAATATATCTTTGCATTGGGAAGACAAATTTTTTCTATTTGCTAGTAGAAACAGGTGCCACGCTAGTAGTAACAGGTGCCACGCTAGTAGTAACAG